GCCATCGAACCATCCATGGCCGGACGGCGGAGCGTGAGGTGGCGAGCGGAGAGATGTACCGCAAGACGAGAATTTTACAACAAAACTCCCTCGCACGAAGACGAGAAAACACGGATCTGACGCGATGTCAATGTCACAAAACGTCAGATCTGGCTCACCCAGGGCTGGACCTAGTCGGGTGTGGACCGTGAGTTGACCAGGGGTTGTGCGCCGGGCCCTCCTGCTCGGCTCCAGCGAGTAGACAAGTGCTACCATCAACAGAGGAGAAGGATATGACCTTTTTTCAGGGCTGATGTGACCAAGCGCTGGTAGCGTGGTTTTACCTCACACCCATGGTCTCACGTGTGCCGGCAGTCGCCGCGCAGTCCTGTCGCTCATACACAAGCCGCAGCACAAGTGACTGATGGCCAGTGAGGGCGAGCTCATCGCTGTGACAGCTGTGGCAGCCGCGCAGTAGGCTGTGCCAACTGTGCAGAGCGTGTGAGCAGCAGAGTAGCTGCTCTCCAGACTTCAGTCGCAAAGAGGTGCATGGTTGCCACCGAAGGCGCTGTCGAGGTTCGCCGAGCGCGGCGCAGGTTGGAGGACACCGTCACCGACGAGCGCGTTGGACTTTTCACTCTCCGGACAAAGACCGCTGCACAGCGGATGGTATGGGCCGTGCAGCGGTCATAGCGGCGAGGCGCGGGACCGTCTGTGGCGAAGTGGGTCGCGTCCTCCGATTTCCGTCAACTCACGGTCCACACCCTCCAACACCCCCGGACCGCGGGCACGTGCTCCACCGTCGCAACTCGCATCCACATGCCTCTCTTGAGCACTGGATAGGGTCGATTCCGCATGATATGGGACCCCTCGATCGTCTCGCCCTCCCTCGGCTCGCTTGTGTGTTCACATTTGGGGAGGGGGGGGGGCATAACAAACACGGTACAGGATCGAGGTGCACGCTGCGGAGGCAGTGTCGTCCCCCCTCTCCATCATCTCACTCTCTGGGAGACGTCGGTCGGCGGTGGTGGCGGTGTCTGTGACCGATCGAGCTACAAGAGGAACTTGTTCAGCAGGATCCGGGATGCCTCTCTTGCCAAGTAGAGTGTTCCCCACTTGCCACTACGCACTAGCGGCGCGAGGAGTCGCTCACATGGCAGCAGCATGGCCATGGGCCATCCCCCCCCCCCCCCCCTAGCATGTGGTGGGCACCCCCCAGCTGTTCGTGGGCTAGGAATAGGCGCCAAAGAGCCGATTTTGCCCCCAAAGTTGTGAAATCGTGGCTGAAACCTGAAAGTCCAATATCTTGGAGAATCTGACCAGTCTCAAGGCTCATGTAGCTCCACAGGATGATTTACGTGCCAAGGGAAGTTAGCATGGGTGTTGGCGTAGGCCGACTCCGTGGCGTTGGTCCACCCTACCGCGTGGCCACAAAGGCGATCGTCCCGGCCGGGAAGATACCTCGAACCTCGTCCACTGCAAGATCCCCGTTGCCACACTCAGGCCCTGGTAGGCGCGGAAGCCCTTCTCGCGGCGCCTCCTGAACGACCATCACCAGCCGTCCGCCGGCCTATGTGCAGCAATTTTTCTTTCTCCCTGGCCGGCGACGGAGAGCTCCGCTGGAAGAGTCGGCGAAATTCTTTTTTTGAGAGCGCCTTCGTTGTTAATAGTACAAACCCAATGGTCACTTGCGAGCGGTCCGTCGTTGCAGTCGCACACACTCACACGCCACGCCTCACTGCGCGCCCACCCGCTGCCCCGCCTAGGCGGGAAAGAGATGGGGAGATGGGACAGCGAAGGAGGAGCCCAAACACGTATGGGAGGTTTCGTTGACGCGTCACGCTGCCCGGCGTTTCTCACTTGGGCCCCCTACCCACGTGCACGTCCGACCTCTCCCCGGACCCCGCGCTCCACCCCAACCTACGGACACGTGGTACATGTCATGCAACGGCAACCCCTACGTCTTTTTGGTTCTCGGTGACGTACCGCGTGGCTATCTATGGGATATGGAAGGCCAGGGAAGTGAGCAGTGAACAGTGTCACAGTCTCAGCATGCGCCTTCAACTCCTCGATTCGTGCACGCACCCACTGTCTCCTGGGTCACCCACGCCGACGGCCCCCTGACCCGGTTTGTCTTTGTGGATCCTGCTGTGTGGCCCCTGCCGCAAAACGACACTCTAGCGTGCGTCTCCCCAAGCCCACTGGCACTATACACAGGAGACCCTAGAGGCCCTCCGCCCTGAATGCCTCCGCGATCTCCTCCTCGCTCACATCGAAGCCGGCGGCGCGGAGAGACGGACAATGCGCCGATCCCAGCCGCACGGAACGGCGGACCTGGCCGACGCAAAACCTGGACGAGTGGTACGGGATGCCGAGTTTTTCTCACTTGATCGCACGACATGTGTGCTCGCTTGCTGCTGTGTATATGTCGCTCCCTCGCGAAGGCCTCCTGATCAGTGAGGCCGTCGAGCGCCTGCGCGTGTCCGATAGACCGCCGGGCTACCTCGCCGCGCGCGCGCTGGCGGATGGTCCCGGCGCACCCGAGAGCTGCTGCTCGCGGGTATCCCGATCGCAGCTGCTCTCGCTTTTGCCGTACGCGCCCTGCAGTGGCTGCTGCGGCTGCTGCGGCTGCTGTGGCTGCTGCGGCCTCGTCGACGCGCTGTCTGACGAGGTCGCCAGCATGCTGCGAGCGCTCTTTAGCGAGGATGATATAGAGTCGATGGCGGCACTGCTTGGCGATGACGAAGGCGAGGCTGCAGTATAGCAGCCCTTGTTGCAAGTCCGCAGGTGTGCGTCTCTCATCCGAAAATGTGTTCTCGTGTTTCTCTGCTTTTCCCGCCGCTCAAAGATAGGCGCTCGTTGTGTGGTGAGGAAATCGAGGAACGCGACCCACTTCCGACTTCGCCACAGTCCACAGATGGTCCCGCGCCTTGCCGAGATACAAGAGGGTCTTACTAAGACGGGCACACGCCCCGCACCGTCCGCTGTGTGCCCGTCTTTATCCGGAGTTGAAAAGTCCGACGCGCTCGTCAGTGGCGCTGGCGCCCGGTGGCGGCTTCCCTGTTCCCTCAAACCTGTGCCGCGCTCGGCGAACCTCGACAGCGCCTTCGGTGGCAAGCATTTCTTTGCGCCAGAAGTCTAGAGGCACACACCATCCTCCCCCTGCGGTCTACAGGTGACGAAAGACAACCTGGTTTGTGGACCTCCCGCACCTGTCCTGACAGTCCTGACAGAGTCCTGACAGAGTCCTGACAGAGTCCTGACAGAGTCCTGACAGAGTCCTGGCGGGGTCCTGACGGCGCACGGTCTTCACAGTGCTCACAAGTGCCTCCGACGAGACCTCCACCTTCCTTCACTGCAACCCTCCTTCCCCTCCCCCCCAGCAGTGAATGATAGACGCCCAGCCCCCCTTTCGACCGTGCGCGCCCTCTGCGGAATCGTCCTGATGGGGCAGTCCTGACGCAAACTTGAGAGTCCTGACAAGCAAACTTGAGAGTCCTGACAAGCAAACTTGAGAGTCCTGACAGAAACTTGAGAGTCCTGACAGAAACTTAGAGTCCTGACAGACAAAAGAAATCACGCTCACTCTCGCGCCACTCGGCTCGACCATGAAAGCGCACAAGCAAGAGAGGCGCGGCCATGGTGCAGGCAACGTTACAGCCGGCAACGTGCAAGAAGGCAGCAAAGCTCGGCCACGACGTCCATGGCCCGCGCCCCCCCGATTTGCCACCGGCGGCCTGCAGGCCAGCGCCGAGCAGCGGACCGACTGCTGACCGACTGCTGACCGACTGCTGACCGAGGCAGCGCCCACGGCAGCGCCCACAGCAGCGCCCACGGCAGCACCCACGGCAGCACCCACGACAGCGCCCACGGCAGCGCACACGGCTTGGCTGGCCATGTCAGCCGCGCAGGGACCCTCCCGCGGGTCCAACCCGAAGCGCTCGACCGCTCGACGGCGCAAGTCGGCTGACGGAGCGAGCCGCATAGCCCTCCAGTGCTCACCGCAGGATCAGGCCCGACCGGCCCACGCTCACGGCCTGGCCTGCCTGTGGACCAGCAAACTCGTTGGCTGTACGCGAGCAAAGAGCTGCGTGGCTGGGTTGTGAGCATACCGTCCCCGTTGCGCCCTTTCCCTCAGTGGAGGGCCGTCCCTGCCCTCGGGAGTAACTCGACTGTACACCCCTCCCTACTCTCTAGCTAAGGGCTCTGTTCACAGCGGGGGGGCAGTGGTTGTCCTGGCGGAGTCCTGGCGGAGTCCTGACAGAGTCCTGACAGAGTCCTGACGGAGTCCTGACAGAGTCCTGACGGCCTATTTTGGAGGTTTTCAACTTTGAGGTATTGTTACTATGTGAGGGTGAAATGAATGAATCAGTTCTTTGGGACAGTGCAATCCTTTTAATTATTACCTCCAACTCAAAAAAAGTCTGATGTCAAACGGACAACGGGGTCCCTTATGGTGGCCTGTATGTACGCCCACTCATAATTATATATCGTCATCATCTGTCCAGCGTCCACCCATACCGCGTCGGTGTCCAGTCCGAGCCTGACACCTAAATAAATAAATAAATACAAACGGACACCTCTACAGGTTGCTCACCCACGGCACCGGGCCGGTGCTTGCACTTTGAATGCCGTGGGGCTCCTGCCCGTGTCCCGGGCGTGGAGATGCGAGGGTCGCCCCCCCTTGCCCTCTGGGCCGGCACGGGGCCCCCAGAGGGTGTCCATGCGGGGGGGAGATGGGTTCCCACGGCCCGCCGCAGGCGCCGATTTTTTCGGGATTTTTTTCTTTTTTGCGCCATTTTTACTTGTTTTCATGGGAATTCTGCGTACTTGCGGCCATGCTATCACGCCTTGCGACAGCCTGTCGGCGCTGCTGACCGTGCCATGATGCACAATTGATCACCTGCATAGCTCGCGGCCTTAGTATCAAGCATTCAGTGACGACCTGATCCTACGACCAGTAGGAAGGTGTCCTTCCATCGTGTGCACGCTTCTGGCGCAATGCGCGTCGCCTCGGATTGGCTGCTGGCACTCTCGAGGCTATGCCTACACAGCCTCGCGCGCATGGGCAGTCAGGAGGGACCACGCACCTTCACAGGACAGCGCCGGTGCCTCTTTCTTGGACTGGCAAACTTGGTGGTCTCGTGTCACCAATGTGGGACCAGTGCGGCATCGCGCCATCGACAGCTCTGAACTGCGCCTCACCACTGACCGGGAAGGCCGCCAAGTGGGCCAGCACAGGTCGCATATTGTGGCAGCAGTCAGCAGTGCATGTCTGATAGCTAGAGCTGCAGCGTCAGGGTCGCAGGGTCGGATCGTGTCAAGCCTCTCGCCCGGCCAGCCGCGTGCAGACGTCGGCCTGTCTGCTGTCTGGAGTGATCTGTCGGCGGTCAGAACGACCGATCAGGTTAGAGTTATCTGATGGTTGGAGGGTCTATCTGTATGTACTCCTCGAGATCTCTCCGAATCTGCCCTCTACTTAACCGTACTTAATCGGGAAGTCGGTGCTAGTGGAGACTAGTGGAGCCGGGGCCCCGTTTCCGCACTGCGGCGCGGCGCACGGTGCCTCCGGGGGGCCCCGCGCCGGCCCAGAGCCCTTGCCCCACCACTTTGTGTGTGTGGAGACGTTTACCTTACCTTACTTACCTCTACTGTGAGATGGGTAAAAAGGAAACAGGTCCCCGCCCTGCGGTCTTTGTGCAGGGTTCGGCTTTGTGGGTGTGGTCGGCGGCTAGCCGGGGTCGTCCTCCCGATGAGGGACTAGCACTAGCCGTCTTCCACACGGTCCCTCGGGTCCCTGCTGCTCCTAATCTCTTCGTACATCCTCCTGCTGATCTCCGCAACGTCCTGCTCCCTCCCTCGTCTCGCCCTGCGCGACTGCTCCGCCTCACCGTCGTCCGCCCTGCGTCGTCTGGTGACGGGTCCTCCATAGTCGGTTGAGGTCGCCGCCCTCCTCGTGCCTCTTCCCAACGTTTCCTCGGCGGTCGATGCCGTCTGGTCCGCCTCCGCCGTCCCCGGGTCTGCCCTGCCCTCGTCTGCACTAGCTTCTGTTTCGTCATCACCGGCGTCGCTCCTCTTCTTTCTCCTCTTCTTGTATGCTTTGTACATCGCGTCGATTCCTTTTCGCGTGAGCACCATCCTGAAGCTCGCCCAGCAGCGGAACCGCTCCCTAAGTCGAAGGAGCATCATCAGTCTCACCCACTTCGCTCTCTGTGACGGTGCCCTGGCAAAATCGTCCCGATTTCGATGCGCGATTTAGCTATTCCCAGAGCCGTTTACGCATGAGCGGGCCCCCTCACCAGCCTAGGGCTCGCGCTTCTGGCCCGAGGTGTCGCCGCTGCCTCCCGCGCCCTCCGGCGCCTGCTGCTACTGCCGGTCGGCCGGTCGGGTCCGCGCGACGGCTCCATCCTCGAGACGTAGCGGTCGCTGAGCGCTTTCTCGACCGCTACGTCTTCCAGTGCACCCACCCACCGCGACCCTCGAACCTGCGCTGCGCGGCGCAGTTGCTGCCGAGCGAGACGCCCCCGCCCGCGCAGGGGCGGCATCACCAGACGCTACCGCATGGCCGAGCAGCGAGCAGTGTGTGCCGCAGTGCCCGTCCGGGCCCTCTTGCAGCTGCCTCTATTGGGCGTAAACCGCGGATATAAGGGTCTATACGGAGGTGGGTGGCCTCTTAGAGGTATGGGAGCCGCTGGCACCGCGCTGGGCGCCGCGGATGCACGTACGAACGAACATTATGAAATCGGGACGATTTTGACCCAAAAATCACAAGGTGCTATTCTTCACCTTCCTACATATGTATGTTCGTAGGGAGGTGATGAGGAGTCAGTTAGCGCGGCGGGCGGTTAGACGTTACGAGAGGTGTATGTTGAAGGGATGATGATGAGTCAGTTCGCGCGGCGGGCGGTTAGACGTTACGGTTCGGAGGCTTTGGAGCGATGAGCGTGTCTCATTGCGTCAGGCCCGCGACCGACACCCACCGGAGCGTGGCTTTGGCGCAGGGCCGGCCGCACCATGCCGAATCCGCTCGCGTTCGTCGGCGGAGGCGCGGTGCTGACGGCGGCGGCCCGAGCGGCGGACAAGGCGAACGGTGGTGGCGGGCCATTCCAGCGGCTGGGCGAGGGCCGCGGCGCGGCGTTGCGGGAGGCGTCGCCGGCGGAGGCGCTGCACACAACATACATACAGCCATCTCGAGAAGCTCAAACATCAATCTAGCACACCCTATATATTCTTTAAACATACCACTCCCCACCCACAACTCAATCTTAAAATTCTTTCATCCCTTAATTACAACCTCTCATCCCTACAACTAATTACAACTAAAATATTTATCTATACCTCCCCAATTCATTTTTTACAACTAAAATATATCCTCACCAACTTTCAAAATACTTGCTAACATTAGAAAGAAAGAAAACAGACAACCCAAGGGAGGGATGAACTACTAACATTAATAAATATATAGGCGGGCGGCTTTTTTCAGGCGAAACTACAAGAGCACGCGAAACGGCGCCCTCCCTCTCAACATTCGATTCGGCGGCTCTGACGCAGCGCGGTGGGTGACCTCCGAGAGCGGCGACTGGCTCCCGGTTCGAGGGATAGTGGTCTAGTGGCATGATTCTTGCTCTGGGTGCAAGAGGCCCCGAGTTCGATTCTCGGCTGTCCCCCGTTTTCCCCCCCTTTCCCCCCGATTCCTCCCTTTTTGTGATTTCGTCTTGGTAGATTCCTGCGCATCGCCCTTCTTTTAATGGCGGTGGCCACAGGCTACAACCCTCGCCCTCGCTCTCGTCGAACGACGTCTCGACAAACCGCGTGACGGGGTGAAGAGGGCCGCCGTATGACGGGGTGAAGAGCGCCATGTTGTGCGTGACTTCTCGCGAATCGGGCCGAGAACTATGAACGGCAGCTGTGAAGGGGCAGGCACCGGCTCTCGCCTAGCTCGCTCTACCTTCCGGCTCTTAGACAATTTTCGCCGGCCGGATGGTCCGGGTGGGCGCCCGCGACAGGTGCCTTCCCTGCTTCGATGACGCCGCCGAGGCGGGCTGGCGCGGCGACTGGGGCTTTGTCTGCCTCGCCGACACGCAGTTTGGCATGCTGCGGCATGACGAGAGCTGGGGAGAAGAAAAGGCGATGCTGCTGGAGGCGGCGGCGCGCGTCAACGCCCTCTCCCCGCCGCCGCGCTTCGTGTGCGTCTGCGGCGACCTCGTCAACGCCTGGCCCCGCCGAGGCGCAAGCGGGGCGGATGGCGAGCCCAACGCGGTTGCGCAGGCGCAGGTCGACGACCTGCAGGCGGCGCTGGACGCGTTCCGGCCGGACGTGCCCCTCCTCTGCCTCTGCGGCAACCACGACATCGGCAACCGGCCGAACGCCGCCACCATCCAGCAGTACCGCCAGAACTGGGGCGACGACTACTTTTCGTTCCGCGTCGGAGGTCTGCCTCCCCCACACTCACCCACACACCGCTCTCCCACACTCACACACGCACACACGCACGCACCCACCACACACGCACACACGCACGCACGCACCACGCACGCACGCACGCACGCACACACGCACGCACACACGCACGCACGCACGCACGCACGCACGCACGCACGCACCACACACGCACACACGCACGCACGCACCACGCACGCACGCACACACACACACACACACACACACACACACACACACACACACACACACACACACACACTGACACACCCCGCTCACCCACCCACACACACACACACACACACACACACACACACACACGCACGCACGCACACACACACACACACACACTGACACGCCCCGCTCACCCACGCGCACTGGGCCTTGCACTTTGAATGCCGTTGGGCTCCTGACGTTAGACGTGGAGTCGCGAGGGACTAGCCTGGCCCCTGCCCCGCCACCTCATGTGCGTGTGTGTGTGTGTGTGTGTGTGTGTGTGTGTGTGTGTGTGTGTGTGTGTGTGTGTGTGTGTGTGTGTGTGTGTGTGTGTGTGTGTGTATGTGTGTGTGTGTGTGTGTGTGGAGAAGCTCACCTTCCCTACCTTAGGCTGCCTCTGCGTGGCCATCAACTCCAGCCTGTGCCCCTAGAAGCGGAACATCTCCCCGTATCCCCCCCCGTATCTCCCCATATCTCGTGAGCAGGACCGGGCCCCTAGAAGCGGAAGACGGAGTCCGGTCTCCCAGGCCAGCGCTCGAGAGGAGAGATCCGACACATCGAGGAGTGCTGGCATGGAGTTGACATCCGACACATCGAGGAGCGCCACACATCGAGGAGTGCTCAACTGTATCCGACCGCACTCGGCGGCGCTCACTGTACTCTTCTCCGTTGTCCTCACGCGGTGCTCTGACTGCTCTGCACACATACCGCCCTCCCGCCCTCACGTCGGCGTATTCAGCACGCAGGCCTATACCTCTAGAATGCCCGCCCAAGGTAGAAGACAACAGCACACACGGGCATTACAAGGGCGTGGGACTGGCGCGCGCTAGCACACACACTGGCACGCCGCCGGAGCCGCCGGAGCGAGTCCGCTGCGCCAGTCGAAGCGGAAGAGGAGACGTGTACGGCAGTGGGATGCCGCCGCGCGGCTGCTGTTCGCCCTCCTGTCTGTCTGTCTGTGTGCAACGTATCCAGGCCGCCCGGCTCGCGCCCGGCTCTACTCACTGCCCCTCGCAGCCCCTCGTACTCACGCGCTGCTCTGAAGACGCGGCGCAGTGCAGTCTCCCCCCCCCCCCCCTCAACCCTCCCCTTTTTACTTCCCTCCTATGACAAGGGTGTGTTCAACGGGATGTAAACACAGCCAGCTCTCCCGCATCTGCCGTCTCCCACAGCTCCCGCCCACTGGATTCGGCACCATGGAGGCTTTGTACCCGTAAGTCTTTACCAAGACCCAACCGACGCCGCCGCAGAGGCCCGGCCAGGAAACCTTGGGAGATGTGGGCAGATCCCTGGAGGTGTGCTGAGGTGTGCGGGAAATATTGGGAAATTTTGTGAGGCGTTGGGAAAGCTTGGAAAGGGGGGGGGGGGGGGAACCTCCCCC